GATGGATCCACACGTCTCACGTCTCGTCAGCCCCGTTACAAATATTATCAAAAACATATTTATTGCTTAATATTTTTGTGATACATTTTGTCCAGGATTCTTTGATAACTAGAAAGTTCAAAAGATTTTTAAATGACAATTAATGCATCCTTGCTGAACCAGTAATTTTATGATTTTTGTTTGTTTATAATATAGATAAAATCCCTAACTCACACTTTTATAGTTCACACAATTTTCATTTTTATTTTTTGATTAGCTGTCCCTTTAATGGCTATCATTCATCAAGCAGTGACAATGAAGCACATCTTCACTCACAGATAACAGCGGTTGTGACGTAGACAATAGTTCCTGACATTTCAGTCGGCGAGTCCTTGGAAGGAACCAGGAGGAGTTTCGGGGAGAATTTCTCTTTGCGGGGATTGTCATCCAGGTCTATGCCATATTCATCTCCGCTATCTCCACATACAGCCACCTTCTCCCCACCGACCAGTTCCACCAGTTTCTCAGTCTGACTGGAAGGGCTCAGGGTGCCTGGCTGATATCTACAGACAAAAAGATCCGCTGAGTCAAACCAAGTACATAAATGACCCAACAGCAAACCCACAACATGCATTGTTGTTAATCATTTTACATAACGCAAAAGTGAAAAGTTTAGGGTCCATAAGATATTTTTTAATACTTTTATTCAGCAAGAATGCATTAAATTTATCAATTTATTATTTCAAATAAATAATTTCTATTAAATGCTATTCTTTTAAATTTTTTAATCATCAAAGAATACCAGGGGGGAAAAAAGTATCATGGTTACTACAAAAATATTAAGCAGCACAGCCGTTTTCAAAATTGGTAATAATAAGAAATGTTTCTGGAGCACCAATAAACTACGTTTTGAAATATATTTAAATACAAATCAGTTATTTTAAATAATAATATATTGTAATAATATTTAACAATAATACCATTTTAGTGTTTTTTTGATCAAATAAATGCAGTCTTGTTGAGAGAGACTTCTTACAGACTTAAAACATTTGACCAGTAGTGTACAAAAAAATTGGCCAAACATAAAGGTAATTTACATAAAGGAGTTACATAAACAGTTTTTAAATGGAAATGGTTGTATTATACTAAATTATGAATTATGCATACTAAATTAGGAAAAATGTGTACAATATGGCCTCTCTAAACAATTTAGGCAGTTGATAGTAGCAGTGTTTGTGATGTTGGGTTTAACCTACCTGAGGATGAGAACACACACGGCCACCAGAGAGTATGCAAGCAATGTCCCAATGGACATGAGATCAACCAAAGCAGCCAAA